ACATGGTGGCCAGTGGGGACATGGTGGCCAGGGGGGGACATGGTGGCCAGGGGGGGACATGGTGGCCAGTGGGGGACATGGTGGCCAGGGGGGGACATGGTGGCCAGTGGGGGACATGGTCTCCCCTAGTAAATACCTGGCCACTCCTGTTGCCTGCCCACATATAACAATAAAATCGAAATATGAATTATTTTATTTTCTAAGCGAACAATAGAGGTGACAGGGTGCAGTGTGGCCACCAAACACGAGACGAAGTACTAAAATAGCAAATTTGTTAGCTACTGATTAGGCATGTAGCCAGTTAGTGACATCACAAGGTTGAACCCTTCCTCAAAAACCCGATGGCCGCCTCCATAAATATAACTGGCCCCTGATGGCCACTGCAATTGAAATGTTCCGCATGCAGCACCACCTTCAGTGTGCCATCCGTTTGTCGGGGTGACGACTCTACACCAGTGTCACCCAAGCCGGTCCTCTGGGACCCCCAGACAGGGAGCTGGACGGGAGTAAAACATGGACTGTCTGTGGGTCCCTCTACACCACAACTCAGAGAACCCCAACACAACCAATCCCCCCCCCCCCCCCCAATTCTCGCACCCTGGCAGGGTTTCCCCCTGGGGAGGTGTGCTCTTTTCCAGACGAGGCCGCCTCCCAGCTCTCTCAAATACGAGCGCACACCCCGGAGCACCTAAGCTAATCTCGCCTGAATATGCCTGACGCTTTCCTCCATCTAGCTAAACCCCCCCATCATGTGGTTCAGCGCACCCTGTGACATGACAGGCAGCAGCCTTGGGTGGCGTCTGTCCTGGGAGTCGTTTCTCATCCTGTAATGGGAACAAACATGTAGTGCTGAATATTACATGAAGATCATGTGTATGTATCGCATCTATATCCTTTAATATTTATTTATACCATTTATGAATGTGCCGTTCTGTACAAATGCAAAGTAAAAATAACCTGTAGTATTGTACATTTGATGCAGAGATTGGGAACCTTAATGTAGATTTTCACAGTTTATATTACACACTAGAAGATCTGAGACCATAGCTCATATAATTCAGTTAATGAGTCCGCTCCCATTGGTGAACTACATACTAGCTTGCATCAGAATCTAAGACATTGCCTGTGTTTTGGCCAGACAAAAATCTCAAGCTCTGAGTATCACAGCATCGGCAGCGGTCTCGCGAGTCTAAAAGTACAAGACATTTATCTGACGTTTTAAGGAATTAGCACGCACATGACGATGCTGGAACGAGTTGTTCGGAATATAATAGAGGAATTTACTCGCGCCCTATTATGTGTCCTGATGCTTTTCATTCCATTCGGGACGGTGATCTAATCTGCGATTCGGTGGGCGACAATGGGGGCACTATGCGACAAATGCTGATGTTCCTCCGCCGTCTACATCCCGGCGGTTTGCAGTTCCCAGTCCCTCGGAATCGCCGGCCCGCAGCATCAATTATGCGATATTTCAGCGCCATGTTCTATAATTCTGGCCCGGCAGTCCCTGCAGAAAGCACTAATGACAGATATAATTACAGAGCTGTCACCTGATCCACAGGGTGGTTATTAACCATTACAAAAGCGTGCGCTGCTTTTGCTTGTGTTTAATTATTATTCTGCAGGATGCAGATTCGTCCTGGGTACCTATGTCATGTTCGACTAATCTCAGCTCTGGGAGGTGTAAGTTCTCCCTATCTCATTTTTTGAACTGCAGGTAGGCATAGACATAGAAAATATGCCACAGAGGATGATGCAACCACAATCCCATATTGCAGCTTGAGTCTCAACCATTCCACTGCCAAAACTCTCTCATTTCTCTATGCTACATTATTTATTTATTTTGTACAGCGTGCTTTTTTTTTTTTTTTTATCTGCGAAGGTCATACTCCTGTACTGCGTCCTCTGCTGACCGGAATATAGGCTCTTGAAAACGGCCCCCCATCCTGACCAGAGTAAGGGTCGAAAGTTGGATGGATGCACGATACAGCAGACAGCGAAATATTACAACATTATAAATAACATATATGAAGCATACAGATGCAGATTTCTTTATTTTTTATAAACTGAAATGGAATACAGTAGAACTCATGCTATCTTGGTCTGCAGATAATAGAAGAGGCTTTTTCTATGATTAAATCCCTTGGACGGCTTCCTCATTGAGCACGGAAGGTGCCCCGCGAGCGTGAGATGAATACGTAACAAGGCAAGAATGAAGCGCTTCACTGGAAATTGTCACAAATGAAACAATTTGGCTGTGGCTAAAACGAAAGTTTTTAAGGCTTCTGAATACCAAATTTCTGCCCTGCCTGTACCTCTAAATTCAATAAAAAGGAGCTCATTTTCCAGTCTAACTAAGAGCCGCTCCCGAGTGGGAAGAGCCTATTGTTTCATTGTCACATGAATAAATCCACATCCCTTTAAAGCGAATTAAAATGTATTTTAACTGCTCTCCTCTGCAACTCTCTTTTAGACTCATATGCAACATGATTGTAGATACACTTCATTTTAAATGATTATAACTAATGGTATACTCTGAGAGGTTATTTGTGAAAATGCTTTTGATCTCTTTGAACACAGGCTCTAACTTAGGCAGTTCACAGTAAGTACAGTGCTTAAAAATGCTATTTCAAATGATAGAAGCACACACAGACCCCCCGACGCCCAACACACACACAGACCCCCCGGACGCCCAACACACACACAGACCCCCCCGACGCCCAACACACACACAGCCCCCCCCAATGCCCGACACACACACAGACCCCTCC